TCTATCTGAATGACCATGTTCTCTATCCTTATCCTGATCTCTGGCTGCATCCCTATCTGACCAACTATCACTGGAACTGCTAGCATGGCCTCTGCTCCTGCTGCGATCATAATGCTTAAAACTAGTGCGTCTCTGCCCACAAGTGCTCTCTCGAACCTTGCTATGACTTCTACCACAATCACTGTTCAAATTATTAATTTCACTTGATCTAGATCTTCTTGACCATTGCCTGCCATGGAAATTTAAGATTCCAGTAAACATAATAAACCCCATCCATGTAAAGGAGAAAAAGAAAAACCTAAAATATGCAAGTCAACATTAGTGGAGTAGTTCACAACATCCATAGATATGAAGTTCACGTTAATACTGTCAATCAACCTCATTATGCATTTGAAAGACATTGCTCTAGGAAATAATTCCAAAACAGAATTACAAACTTTAAGATTCACAGATCAAATAGATAGGTTTGCAGAAATTAGAGCATAAATTAGTTAACATAGAGCGGGCTCGTTATGGTCCCCTAAGAGATATTGGCAAGCGATTTTGATTAGTGATATGGGTCCACTAAGAGAGCACTTAAAAATATCCTTAAGTTAAGTATTCAAGCACCTATAAGACAAATTTCTGCATACCCCTTATTCAGATTGCTATTCTCTTTTTATACAATAAAAGACAACCGAACCAAAAATAATAACTTTCCTGGTTGGAAGCAAGTGAGCACCATCCTAAATAATACCTTCACAGTTATGCTACTAACCAATTATATCGTTGAACAAAAGTAGGTAACAAAATTAAATAATACCAATTCTGTTCCAGCAGCCGTATGTCACTCACTCCGGCAGCAGCCAATTGGCTCATAACAGGCCTACATTTTGCTTTATTCTCTCTCAAAATGAGCTCAATACTACTTTCGGCTAGGGATGGAAACAAATTGCGCAAAAGCAAATAATTGAATATTAGGGCTTGACTGCGTAGCCACTTAGCAGCTCAAACTTTTTCTGTTCAAACTCTCCTTGAATGAAAGACACTAAAGCTTGAGATCACATCAACTCAAACTTCATCTAGATCAACTAAATCCTAAAAACTTCTATGTTTAAATAAACAAAGTATACTTTATATGAACCATACTAAATAATTAATAAATATTACTAATATAATAAAATAAAATACAAACTAATGCATGGATTGACATTCATAATGCACGGAAGCTTCTATCCGAATGACCATTATACCTGTTCAAATTGCAGGAGTCCTTCAACTGCCCTAGATGTTCTTGGTCCATCTTTTTCTCATATTCATCAGAATAGCCAAATAAAGCAGCCATCTTTTTTGCCCAATATTTTGGGGGTGGTTTATCACAGTCCGCCCATTCATAGTCACCACCAGGATTATGGAAACAGTGAATAAAATTGCAAGCCACTCCACGAGAACATGTCTGTTTCAGCATAACAACAAACATTATCAGCCAGAAAAAATGCTATCATGCTTCCCTTTTTTTCTGAAGATACATCTTTCTATAATTAGCACAAAAATAAAAATCAGATATTCTTATATCCTTTCTATAGTTTTTCACCTCTGAAACACGGGTAGAGAACTTAAGATAACAGCAAAGGTTAATGAACCAACAATAAATATCCAACCAACGCTTATAATGGGTGAACCAGTCATACTTTGAGTCTTGACTTCATGTATTCCCCGCATATAGCAACTTTCCATCTGGTTATATTGACAAATTCACATGTCACCTGCCAAGAACCAGGGCAGTTCATGAAACCAATGTCCTAACAACAAAAAGCTGAAAAACTAGAAGAAATCAAGATGTCACTACATAAATTAAATTACCAGATAAGTAACAATGATGATTTACATGTTTAAAACGTTCCATGGGAATCCACTGGATAAGAATGTAATTACACAAATGAGGCAAATAACATACATGAAAAACAAGTGGGGCCCCAGTGGAATCTTTAGGCTCTTAATTCTTCAATCAACAAATTCTTAAAGATAAATGGTTGCAGATTCTTAGTTTTTTGTTATGGGGTCATCCTCTTTGTTTTACGAAGGATGTAAGCGAAACTTGTTGATACTCTAATTGATTTGTAAACTTTCTACATGGGTGGCACTTCCTTGGTGTCTATATTAATAAAATTCATACTTTATGTTTCAAACGATCTTTTCCCCGCCACCTTTACTTTGATCCTGAGCTTAACTTGACAGTGAAGACATGATGTTTCTTCCCTCCTAGATATAACCCTTGTATCCTCATCGGTCACCTTCTCCCCTCCACCCACATCATAGTTGTCTTCTTGTCCGGGTTGACCAAAAGGCGTTCTGCAAGCTTGAATACAGCCTTCATCACCTTCCACCATCCGCCTGCTTCGCCACCTTCCGGAATAAATATTCTCTTTGTTATCCCCCCTCTCCCTCTATCAAAACCAGGAAACGTCCAATCCTGTTTCTTCCAAGCGCAATCCAGAGGTCATATTTCTTCCCAGGCATCTTTTTCCCCACGTCTTCCCTCCCTTTCTCCAGTAGAAGTCTACTAGGATATCCAGAAGCCACCTGACACCCTCCTCTAGGTATACTGAAATGCAGAAGCCCCACCCCCCTTCTCGCTGATCCTAATTCCATCCATCTTCCTCCCCTCAACGACCACATCAAAAGACTCATTCTCAATCACCAGAAATTTCCGCCATTGCGACGCCATCTTCTCCTCCTTCTACTGGTTGGCCCGACCCTGCTGACCTCTCCTTCCTCGAGCCTCTATCTCCCCTGAACTACCCTGCAAGCTAAAACCCTACCTCCCCTTTCTCCCTGAAGAAGAACCTGCTAGAAGGTTTAGATTCCTTCACCCTCTCATCATTGTTAACGCTGGACATGAGTCTCCTAAGCTCTTTAATTTCAGCCATGCCTACATCCCCCCCACCCCAAAAAAAAACAAAAAAAAAAACTATAAAGTTCCCTCAAGCCACCCTCAATTAGTTTGTGAAGCTTCAAAATATTGTTCATCCCACATTCTAACATTCTGCACTAAACGAAGATCTTGTTCAACTTTGCCTAATTGAAACCTGGCTCAAAACCTCGAAAAAATCCAACCACCAAATCATCCACTCCCTTCTCCATCCCAGGTTTATCAGTATCAACCCCACTAGCCATGAGTTCCATATAGCTTTCCCCCAAATTATCTGGCATCAAAAGGAGAAGTGAATTGCACAAAGAGAAATGGAGTCACCATAAACAGGGAAAGAGTATCCACTAGGCTTTGTCAAACCCTGAAAGAGCTTCAGTTGGTCAAAGGCATGTCTCCCCAACATTTAACTTGAAGTAATTAAAAGCCTGATCTAGAATAGGAACACTGAAGCTGTCTGTGAGGGTTGAATCTAAACCAAGACCTAAGAGGAAGAGAACAAAAAAGATATTTTGGGCTCTTCAGTAGCCTTTTCACCACCCTTCGGAATCTATTTGCCTTTAACAAAATATGAAGGCTTATAACAATATTGGCTTTGGACTTTTGGCCAAAAAGCCCAACCTGATTTGATTATGGAGAGCTCTCCTAAAATTCTGCAATCCAAATTTAGATTTTTATCTGCTCCTTAAAATGACAGAATGAAGATGTAAGATCCCTTGAGATATGTGCCTTTCTCCATCTTCTCTATTTTCTTCACTTTGGAAACCAAGTGTTGACTTCACAAAGGTAAATGAATGACCCCCTTGAAACTAATCCTAGCCGATTGTTTAGACAGCCTAGCTTCTATTGCGTCAACTAGATTCTTCATCCTCTGACTAGCAAAGTTCAGTCAGCTTCTTTTTTCCCTTTCACAAAATTCAACTCACATGTTGTTGAGACAGCTGATAGAAAAGACTAGAAGCACAATAAGATAGGTTTTTCTTATAAAACTTATGCAAGAGGTACCCACAACAGAACAAGAGAAAAGGGAGCAGTTTCTTGCTCCAGTCTTGATTCCGCTGAGTCGAAAATCAGAAAGAATTAAGGTTCCGAAAAATAGGAACAGACTTAGGCACTGGTTTGGGATTTTTATCTTTCTTTTTAGCAATTGGATTAGGAACAATATCTATGACCCTAATTGCTTAATAGGGATCTAATGCTTAAATAGCTTGCCTATAAATATTATCATTACCATCAACAAAATCATCAACTACGATTATTACTAAAAAAGAGCAAGATACTAAAGATTCAATGTTCCCTTAAACGAGCCTCAATATAGGTCAGCAAGACTTGGAAACCAGCAAAACAAAGGGCCAGTTTGTTTCAAGATTTTATCACAACAAGCTACGTAACTTGAGTACTTGTCATAGATCCAGGACTGTAACACAATGCCACATGTCACAAAGGGGACGCAGAAACCCATCCTATTGCCATTAGAAGCTTCCAACAATTGCCAGCCTCAATGCCCGAAATAAGCAGCCTCCTATTGCCATCCTCATTCTCTTATTCAGTTCCAAAAGCAACCTCAGCAATTCCTGCCGAGACTTATAGACAAAGCTCGATTAACTCCCTTGAGGACTCTAACCATGATCTATGGCCTCTAAACACCCCCTCTCCCCTCTCCCCCCCCCACCCCCCACCCCCTAAAAAAAGTTACAAGGACCTAAAAACCCACTATCCTCCTTGCTGAAACGATTGAAAACGAACCTAAATTTCAGCAAATCTGGAAATGGCTTGCACCTCTCCTTCCAAGGCCATGTCAAACAACTTTGTTTTCTATCACCAAGAAAGTGTGATAGAAGGCATGATTAAAGGAAATAGCCAGCCAAGAACTAAGCACACAAAAACCTAGGATGTGAGGATATTCTCTCACCAGATAAGAACAGAGAAAGATTCCAATAAATAAGAAAGCTTATAGAAATTCAATTCAATAAACTAATAGGATGATCATGTCTGAGATCTAGACGAAAAAATGTTAGACAATGAAAATATGACTATAGGAGAATCCTTTTAGTGATTAGTAACTAAACCACATCAACTTCCAATTTTACAACCATAAAAACACTTCTTAAACTTGAAGGAGAAATCAAGTACCTGTTTACCAGCAAAGTACCGACCGTTGATAGATTTGTAGGCAAGAACAGCTGATTCCAATGACTTATACTGAACATATACATTTCCTCTTAAGTGGAAGGATCCATTTTTACACACCTGAGAAAGACGTTATATTTGTTTACTATAAGGGAAAGGCAAAAAGGAACCTGACAGAAAAAGATGGTGACTTCAAATTACATAACAATAACAATCTATAGGTAAGAATAGTCTACAAAATGTTGCAGAATAACATATGGTCAAATTCAATCAATTTGAAAGGACATAAAAAGGTCCACCAAGTTTGTACAGAAACAAAAGAGAAAAACTGACTTTACTATCCTTTGCACAATATTTGTTGAATCAAAGATTCAAATCATCTGAGGAACTACTTTTGAAATTTTTCATAGCTCATGGACGTCCAAATCAAGAAAGATCAAACTATTGTGGAAAGCATGGAGAGAACCGATCAACCTTGAAATTGACAATTTCACCAAACTTCAAGAACTCAGTATGCACGTCATCGTAAAATTCTTCATAATAACGTTCAACCTCTTCATCTGTATGCTGAAAAGAACGAAAAGAAATCAACCAAGAAAAATGCTCATTCATAGATATCCAGAGAAATAACGATCAAATGGAGTAGATAATGTATTGTACAGCCACAGTTTGTAAGGAGGCATAGCAGATAAGACCCACATCCTCCCCCAAAACTGTAACGTTGGTGGTTTTTTGTTCACATACTAGTACAGATTAGTTGACAGGAAGAGCCAGCCACCAGAAGAAAAGCAAGGTTACGCTTCTGTTCATATTCAGGAAAATCAAGCACATTTGGGGGAAAAAACGAAATCAACAATCTGTATGGAAAAATCACCTTACTTAAATGGACACATTTGAAGCTTATTTGGGAGCACATTTCAGCTTAGTATATAAGAAAACACACGGTCATTTGGTAGTGTCACGACAAAAAGCTTTCTTTTCAAAAACACTTGCCTTTGGTTGTTTTGAATAAAAATAGAGTTTCTTAAATTATTTTCCATTAAATTCTGTGCCGAGTATTTCTGTTTGATAAGAATGCACTTAAAAGATATTATATGGATTATTCTAAAATATCGTATCAGATTTAAGAAAAGATTTTCTTTTTTTTCAGAATTCAAAGCTATTTACATATGTTCCATGTGAATTTTTGAAGATTAATAAGTATATTTGGAAATAATAAAAGTTCTTAAGTATCTTCCTTCCATTCCATAAAACATAATTTTTTGGTATGACCAATATTTAATTCTTTTCAATTTGACTTTTTGAAAAAAAGCAATTTATATATACATATCAAACACTAACTTCTAAAAGCAATATTATGATAAAGGAAAAAAACTCAAAACGCAATGAAACTAAGCCATAATGTTTCCCACAGTTAGATACAGTCGAAATTAGAAATCATTCTTTTCTTCTTTGTTAGAAGACTTATGTATGCGAACAATGACAACTAGAATAACATAACTGCACTGCAATTACTCATTTCCAGCAAGTAGGATACAGAACAGCTAATATCTTTATCTCCATCGGACCAAGGCCAAAATCATGAGCTTCCATAAAATTGGATCCATGAATCTCTGACTTAAGTTAAAGAACAGAAATGAAGTTCAAAGTTAAGTGACTCACCAGAGTGTTCCCAGATTAAATTGTATATATCATATCACTAATGATAATAATGAAAGAAAGCATTAAAAAGGAAATGAAATAAAAAGGTGTTGCTTCAAATTGTTAAACTGACAATGGTAACGAAGATGCCAAAGTTATTATCAGGATACAAGAATCACATGAAGGTAGCATTTACGGACCTCAAGCCCCTCATCTTGATCCCATGCCATGCCCGGACCATTGTACATATTCTTGATAAGCAGTGTGCAAGACTTATCAGGGTAGAAATGAACCCTGCTGCAGCGTTGACCAAATCGACAAGCTCCAGTCTTTAAATGGAAAGGGCAATGAGATTTATCCTGAGGCATCACACAATAAACATAGAGCATAATTTTAAATAATGAGCCAAGTTGTATAAAACATGATATGTGAGAACTATTAGCATTAACATTCAGAGAGAGAGATGAAGAGAAAATACTTGTTCAGTTCCAAAAAAGGGTACTTGCTGAGCAACATTCTCCAACATCTGTTGTGCTGAAGCTGCACTCTGGTAATCAGCAAAAGCTTCCGACTGTGGAGGAAGAGGATTCGACGTAGGCCTTTCAGTGTCCTAAAAAGTAAAGAATACCCATGCCAATTAAAATATCTCCCACAACCAAAATTGAAAGAACAAAACATAAAGACAAGGTTTTAAAGACAATACATAACCAAGATATTGATTGATAAGCTTTACTCCTTGTCGCTCTGCTGGTTTGCACCAGTCTTTGGAACCCTCACTTTTTTCTTTCTAAAGATTATCTCATTTCCTTTAAATATAATTTCTGCAGGTCCCTCTTCTACATATTCCCATTCATCATCACTGCTGCACTTCTTCTCCTCCTCAACCTGTCAGGTAGTACCATAGCTTTAAAACAAATCAACATAGATCTATATCATATGTCACACAGATCCCCGTTCCTTATTCCTCATCCCCACCTGAAAGAAAATATATCTAGCTCATCCTTGTTTCCCACAGTCATTAAGACCCGACCAAAACCCAGAATAAGAAAATAAGGAACCTAAATAACAATATGAGACTAAGACATGTATTGCTCTGCAGGAAGGAAGCAGAAAAAATCAACATCATCTTCTTTCCACATTTTCCTAGAATTGAAACAAATCGAACTCTCAAAAACCTAAATCCCAATAAGCCATGGAGATAGCAAGAAACAAATTTCATTTCATAAATTACTATTTCCCTCCATTTTTCTGGCGCTTCATAAGACTCCTTTCCAAGTAAATACAATGTTAATTTGAAGCCCTGAAACAAAATATATAAGAATATACAATATACAAACCTATAGTCTCAGTGACAACTTATTGCATTTTCTTTTCCTTCCGCTAATTTTCCCAAGCAAACACTTACAATTGAAAAAGAAACACGGACAGACACAGACGCACAGAAAAATAATAACGATCAAACAATAAGAAGATACCTCTTGTTGTCGGGACTCTTCTAAATCCTTCCGTCGATTCTCTTCTTCCCTCTCTTCCTCTTCCTTCTTCCTCTTCAATTCAGCAGCAAGCATCCAGGCCCTCTCCCTCTCCTCGAACTCTTTCAACTCTCTTTCCCGACTCCTTGCCTCCTCTTCCTCCATAATCGTCAATCTCCTCTGCTCCTCCGGGTCGTTCATCCTCGCCTCCTCCTGCTCTCTTTCCTGTATCGCTATCTCCTTCCTCGACTGCTTCCTCTTCAACTTCTTCACCGCCTTCCTCTTCTCCTTCCTGTTCGATGCCCCCATCTTCACCTGATTCGCATTCCCTTCTTCTCTCGTCTCCACTCCTCGCAATTGTTCTTCATTCGCGGTGCTTTCTCCCTCCATTTTACGAAATACAAGGTCTGGAATCAGCTGTTAGGTTACATTTACTACCTGTTTCAGTCGGATCAGTTGTCTGGAGAAACAGAAAATTGAGAAACATGGTGGAACCAGGAGGGTGTTATTAGAATTAAGAGCAAATTTTTGTTGCTTATAAAAAATTAAATTTTATTTTATTTTATTTTATTTTATTTTTAATAAATTTAAACATGTTCCAAATTTTTCATAGGTTGTTTGAAAATTTTATTTTATAATAATTGCTTTTAATATTATTAAAATTTGTAGTTAGAATTAATTTATTACTTTTTATTTATTTATTTAACGAATATATAATTTATAAATTATTAATTCCATCAAAATATAAAAATATACATCACTTTTGTTTTATTAATTCGATGTCATTTGTAGCACCCAATTTACGTGCATTTACTCGTACAATCTACTGACGTATTCTTAAAATTTCATATGTATCGATGTAACGTTTATTAAAATTAATTTAAATATTTGAAATCTACATTATTAGTCTCTTTTGTTGTAAGATATGTTTGAGTTCATCGGGGTTACGAAGGTTTATGTTTGTCTTTTTTAAGTCAAAAAGATTTTATTTTTAGTAATTTTATATAATTTATACCAAGTCAAAAAGATCTTATAATGTCGAGTTGTTGTTATTAATTATTACATGATGATTTATGTAAAAGCTTAAATGAATAAATCTTGTGCATGGGTTGAAGTTACATTCGTCTTATAATGATATCAGAAAACTCGGTGAATGAAAAAAGTGAATATAATTGTAGCGAATCAATATGGATTAAAAAGATATTTATACAATCTTATATTATATGCTTTGATGATCATTATAATCTACTGACGTATTCTTGAAATTTCATAGGTATTAATATAACGTTTATTAAAATTAATTTAAATATTTGAATTGTACGTTATTAGTCTCTTTTGTCACAGGATATGTTTGAGTTTACTGGAGTTACGAAGGTTTATGTTTGTCTTTTTAAATAAAAAAGAATTTGTTTTTAGTCATTTCATATAATTTATACAAAATCAAAAAGATATTGTAATGTCGAGTTGTTGTTATTAATTATTACATGATGACTTATGTAAAAGTTTAAATGAATAAATCTTGTGTGTGGGTTGAAGTTACATTGTCTTATTATACTTCAATAGTGATATTAGAAAACTCGGTGAATGAAAAAAGTGAATACAACTGTAGTGAATCAATATAGATTAAAAATATATTTATACAATCGTATATTATATGCTTTGATAATCATTAGGATTATTATAATCTACTAACATATTATTGAGATTTCATAAATATTGATACAACGTTTATTAAAATTAATTTAAATATTTGAATTATACGTTATTAGTCTCTTTTGTCACAAAATATGTTTGAGTTCACTGGGCTTAAATGAATAAATATTGTGCGTGAGTTGAAGTTACATTTGTCTTATTCTACTTCAATAGTGATATCAGAAAACTCGATGAATGAAAAAAATGAATACAACTGCAGCGAATCAATGTAGATTAAAAATATATTTATACAATTGTATATTATACGCTTTGATGATCATTATGATCATTAAAGTTATAGAGTCGGATGAAGTTATGTTATGCGAGAGACATAAAAGATATAGTATAAGAACTAAAGCTAGAGAATTTGGAAGCACGAAAAAGATTATTTTTCGAAAGCAATTGATTATTCTACTTTGGAAGCATTTGTATCTAAAAAACTTCCGAAGTAGATTTAGAATTTTTAAAGAAATAAGATGTCGGAGCTTAGCAAAAAGCAAAAGATAAAAACTTTTAACACTTTACGGACTTGAAATGCTTCGCACGAAATTTGTACGGCCTGTTTCTGATTTTTCCCTCGCGAACATCGACAACGATCAGTAAGATGCGTGTGCACAAAGAAAAAATAAGAGGTGTGACTAGGAACTGAGAAGATGGTTTGATCAATAGTATTGAAATTTAACTATGTAGTTTGTACAGTTGAGTAATTTAAGTATCTTAGTGTTTTTTTTCCAATTAATGGGTTTTACAGCAATAAGAACCCTAGTTCTTCTGTTTCCGGCCCTATTAGTATTTAAACCCTAACAAAAAAACACTCTTCCCGCCGCCGCTAACGACAGTGTATCTCTTCCTCATACTCCGGTGCTTCTTCCTCATCGGACGCGGCGTTCCAGTTTTGGGTTGACTCATCATCCATAGTCTCCCTCGTCACCGAATCCTTCCGCAGTTCTTTTCTCACTTTAGGGTAAATAGCAAAGCGGACAGCGGGTTCAGTGACTTAGTAGGGTTTCTCTTAGGTTGAGGTTGTTATTTGGTTAATCCTTTTGCAGTCGGAGATTTAATGGCGTCTTTGAAGAGAAAGTTTGTTGAGGAAGCAGGGGGGGAGATTCCTCCTCCGCAGAAGCAGCAGAGGGAGAGTGTTCTTTTAACCGGGGATGGACCAGTGAGCTGTATCCATGATGTTTCTTACCCGGAGGGTTATGTTCCTCCTCCTCTTTCTGGCCCAGCAGCTCAAGAAGATTTGAAGCCTGCAAAGGAATTTCCATTCACTCTCGACCCTTTTCAGTCTGAAGCTATCAAGTGCCTTGATAATGGTGAGTCTGTAATGGTGAGTTCTTAATCCCTTACCTCTTTGTATGGGTAGTTCAAACCGAAGGAAAGAGAGAAGATATGTACGCTTGTATTTACTTTCTTTTGATTGATTAATGCTGCATGTAAATGTCGTTCTCTTTTGAGCTTATCTATTGGCAAATTTTGCAAAAATAGACTTCGCATTAGCTGAGTGAATTCTTAAGTAGGATCATGTTGCGTATTTGTTAGTGGTGATTAGCATACTATGTAGGAGCTTTGATTTTTTTCTTGTTATGGGTTCTCTATACAGAAATTTTCTGCAAAAGAAAATGATAGTTCAAAGTTGCAATTTATAATAGGTTTCAGCCCATACATCAGCCGGTAAAACTGTAGTAGCATTATATGCCATTGCTATGTCTTTGCGGAATAAGCAGCGGGTCATATATACTTCACCCATTAAGGCACTCAGCAACCAAAAGTATAGGGAATTCAAAGAAGAGTTCTCTGATGTTGGTTTGATCACTGGGGATGTAACAATTGATCCTAATGCTTCTTGCTTGGTAAGTCTTTTGACTAATTTGATTGTTGGATATTGAAATATTCTATCAATTGGTTTGCTTAGTTGCAGTTTGATTTCAGGTCATGACCACTGAAATCTGGCGTAGTATGCTGTACAAGGGTTCAGAGATTATGCGGGAAGTGGCTTGGATAATTTTTGATGAGGTACATTACATGCGTGATCGTGAGAGAGGTGTGGTATGGGAGGAGAGCATTGTTATGGCACCAAAGAAGTCTCGTTTTGTTTTCCTCTCAGCAACTGTTCCCAATGCAAAGGAGTTTGCTGATTGGGTTGCAAAGGTAATATCTCTTCTTTGTATGCTTATCTTCAGCATGTGCAGGACGGTTAGGCAGTTAGGTTCCACGGTAAGAACCTAGAATTTCCTATGAGCGCTCTGATTTTTTTTGATGGAGTTGTTTTCTTTATTTTATTTTATTTTTTAAATTTCAAGTAAACAATCAAATTAAGTTTCATTATCATGGCCAGGTGTTAACTATGAGTATTACTTGCCAGGACTAAAAATATATTGGGATTTAACTTGGTGACAGATGAGGCGGTTGGAGGGTGATTACATTGCACTTCTCCTTAGTAGGTTTTAGTGTTCACCTGTCCTTATGCCAGTTGTCTTTGTTTTTTCTTTTTCCCCCTGAACTTTTTCCTTTCCATAGTAATCTCCAAACACAGGGAAATGAAGAAAAGCATGATTAATAGAGAGGGTAAGAATTAATCTGTTAAGGAGTTTTTAATGCTTATATAGATATATTTGTGTGAACAACAAGTAGATTAAATGGATAGGAGTTATCTAGACCTTAGTTCTGTGACACTTTCTTCTCACTTCCCACCCTCTGCAAATCTTCCTATAGTAGATAGTTTCTAATTATTTGAATTGTATCATCCAGTCATTACATTCTTCTGTCTGCATCAATATTGTGAATCGAGGGGTTTTCTTTAAGAGGATCTTAGGAAAAGCAATGGATTATCGGATACAGATTAATCAATTGTCTGGTGCAGCTGAAACTTGGGCATATATCATGCACATAATTGTGGGTTGAAATAGTGATGGTCTTTAATCATGCAAGAGATATTAGGTGTTGGATTCTACAGGAGCAGAAAGTTTTACTTCTATCATTGTCTTTATGCATTACCAAAGAGATGAACAAACTTCATAAACATTAGGGAGTTTTAGTATTTAACAGTCATGATAGTTCATCTCTTCAACCCTCAGTCTTTTCATATGATAGAGCATCTAAAGTGAACTTCTTTTTATGCTGGTTATTGGAAGAAAATATTTATTTGGTGTTATTGCAGGTCCATCGACAACCGTGTCACATTGTTTATACTGATTATCGGCCAACACCACTTCAGCATTATATTTCTCCTGCTGGAGGTGATGGTTCGTATTTGGTTGTGGACGAGAAGGGAAAATTTCGAGAAGACAACTTCCAGAGAGCTCTAAATGCACTAATTTCCCCTGGTGAGGGTGATAAGAAGAGACAGAGTGTAAAATCACAACAGGGTTTGACGATGAGCCGACTTGGTGAAGAAAGTGACATCTTCAAGATAGTGAAAATGATCATTCAACGTCAATATGACCCTGTCATACTTTTTAGTTTTAGCAAAAGGGAGTGCGAATTTCTTGCAATGCAGGTATTATTTTTTATTGCCATAAGGAATCTTTTTTTATTGGCATTATATGATTTATGCATGCTTCTTTCCTTTTTCAAATAAAAAGTGAAAAAAGGATTCGCATGCTTTAGGTTGCCAATTTACTTCCTGGCATAACTGTTACTAGATTGGTACGAACCTCGGGACTAAAACATTGGTTGCCTGATCCCTGTTTATTCTGTATTATGTATGTATGAAATTTTTGTTTTACATTTAACATTACGCTGGAGTTGGGCAAGTGGATATTGGACCATAGATCTTTTGTCGTAACTATTTTTCTTTTTTAAATTATACCCTATGTATACCCTCTGCTTTTGTTGCCCTCTTTGATGCAAGATAATAATATTAAGTTATCTACTTAGGGAATTAGAGATAAAATCTAGATATCACACCTTCGATTGATTAGATATCATGCTTAATAATTCTTAAGCATGAAGCTTAAGGATTTGGTGGCATCATACAACCAGGAAGTTGAGAAAATTTTCAAAGAACCCTATTATCAAATAATTGGCCTCCCCATAAAAGTGAGATCATAAAGGTTTTAATAGTTCTTGCTAAGTAAGCTTTCCAAATAGGACTGAAATACAAAATCCTGATACTAATAAGAATAGGATACTAACTACCTAAAAAGTGAATAAGACAAATAGTTGTACATCTAAAGGCATTATAATTTTTAAGCTATCTAGTAAATGTGAAGCTAATCCATTTTGTGTCATTCTTGTTATTATTAATAGCTGGGAGATGCGGGCTGTTTACTTTGGTTTCTTCTTTTCATTGTAGATGGCAAAGATGGATCTAAACGATGATGAGGAGAAAGAGAACATAGAGACAATCTTCACGAGTGCCATGGACATGCTTTCAGATGATGACAAGAAACTTCCACAGGTAAGCTCTCATTATTCTTTCCTTAAGTTGATATACTTTCCTATGGGAAGCTGTAAATGAATTTGCAATTTGGAATGTGTGTGCATGAGAACAATCGTATCTGTCTGATTTGTGGTATGAGTATATCTATCTTTGGGATAATGTAAATGTACACAGCAATTTGGTGCCTAAAATACTGGCATTTCTACTTGCAATCATTTTAAGCATATCTCTGCTTCCATAATTAGCCTCAATTGCATTTCAACTTTTAGAAGGAGCACCTACTGTTCTTCTTATATTCACTCATTGAGATTGGAAGAGTCAAAATTCAATGCAAATTAGAAGTGATTTGACGAATAAAAACTCATTTAAAAAGAAATTTGAGGGTTTGATTCCAGTAATCAAGCCTTAATGATACACAACAAGATAATACTATTCTTTTAGATAACATTTTTTTACTCTTTTAAATGTTTGTAAATTAACAACAAACAAAATTTTGTTGTTTACGTTTTTTATCGAACAGATAAAGCATTTTGGCATTAAATCTAATGTTTTAACAGAAGTGAAAATTTTTCTGTTTGGTCAGATGTGAAATTTATTTTGTTATGGGCCCTGCCGTTAATAGTGCATATAATTGTTATATATATTTTAGATATCTGTTTATTGTTATTTCTAGACCAAGGACATGGGAGTTAGCTATTTTTATATCTTTTGCTTGTATAAATGCTGGATGTTTTATATTTAACGTATATTATGTATATTTACTTATTGTCATTTCTTTATACATTATTTCTTTACAGGTATCAAACATGTTACCCCTTCTGAAACGGGGAATAGGCGTGCATCATTCTGGATTGCTTCCCATTCTGAAGGAAGTAATAGAGATACTATTTCAAGAAGGATTGATTAAGGTAGGATCTAGAACTTAAAGACTCACCCGCTATTATGCTCGCAAATGTGAGACTGTACATTAATAATGATAGCTTGATTTTTTTTCTTTTGGTAAATTCATCACTATATATCCTCTGACACTTCTTTTTCTACCCCTTTTTGTGCCTGTTTTATTTGTCTTTTGTATGTCTTTGTTATGTGTGTGCCCTTGTGCGTATGCATCTGCCTGCCAGTGCATGTATTTGCCTTGTTCTGGTATTTATCATTTTGATATAATTGTTTTATCTATGGGCTGTAGATTAATGGAAAACCAGAAATTTATTTGTGCTCCTGTTTGTGACAAATAATTTATTTGTTTTATCATTTTGATTCGTTAAGAGAGAATCCTTCAATCTCTAGAATAAGAAGGTACTTGAAATTTTAAAGAAATACTTCATTCATAATTCTGTTTGAAAAAGACAGCAATTTTATTTACGAAGTTAAGGTAGTTATCCTGGAAGTTATTCCTAGAATTTATCCTAACTACCTCTTGTGTTTATCTTAGACTTGTTCCTACATTTATTGATGCAGAACGGGCTAGTCTTTTATTTCTTAAATAAATTAGAAATTATAATTATATTAAATGCAAAACAACTATATTATATAGGAGTCTATTATTACATTATTTAGGAGTATTATTATAATTTTAGTAACTTCGAATTTTATTCTTATTAGAATTAGGAGCTTATTCTTATTAGTATTGTTTTCTATTTGTATTAGGGTTAATTTTAATTTTTTTTTGAATATAGAAATTGAAGTATCATCATGTTTTTTTGAAACTCATTTAACTCAAGTCCATTGAAAATCCGATCATTGGGACATTTAACTCAAGTTTAGACAAGGAAAAC